CCCCCGCTGCTCCCCGGCCCCCGCTGCTCCCCGGCCCTCGCCTCCATCCCCGGGAAGGGAGGGGGCGAAGGTAGCCCCCCGAGGTGGGCGACGGCGTGCACCTCGGGAGAGGAGGGAAGGAAGGGGAAAGGAAAGGGAAGCCAGGAGAGGAGTGGGCAGAAGGGAAAGAAAAAGGAAGGGAAAGGAGAGCAGAAAGCAAAGAGAAGAGGCGAGGAAGAAAAAGAGTCGGGGAAAAGAAACCCTTGTGGGCAGAGGCAGGTTCAACCTTCAGTTTTTAAGTCCCGTTTCTGCCCTGCTCTGAAAGACTGGCGTGCACAGCCCTTGGACTACCCCCTCGTAGTGCTGCAGCTTTTACTGCTGGGCCAGGAAAATCTGTCTGATTTCGCCCTGAACTACGTTCAGCTGATGGTTTTGGGTAGGTGTGTACACTGGCAAGAAGCTGTAAGAGGACCGCCAGAATGTAACCATGCTTACAATAATGGTTGCAGCCTTAGCTCCCATGGTCTCAGCACTTTCTCCAAACAAGTCTTCTGTGAGAACACAAAACTGGATTACCTTTGAGATTTCTAACATTGCCCTAAATATGTTGTCATGTGATGTCAGGTCCAAAGTAGGTAGGTACCTTTTCTCCAGCTCTCTCCATGCTTTGACTATCCCAGGTGAAAACATCGGAATGTCATTTCTAGGATGACAATAACAGTGATCACAACTAACCTATTGAGTGTAACAACAACATATTCTCTCACAAATGATGGGTGTCAGCACCTCCAGTTCCACTCTAGAAATCAGCCCTGGCACTTCTGCAGGGTTGCCTGCGTGACTTTTTCTTCAAGGAACAATGTAGAGGCCATTCTTGCCTAAAACTTAACTATGGTCATGTTTACTCTGAATCTTACTAGCACATGAGTCAGGGAATTACTTCTTTTTTTTTTTTAACACGAAGTCAAACACCTCATGTAGGACATCGGAGCCTGGAAGTGTGCTACGACGAGTGCTGGATACCACTGATGGGCCCAGAATCAAAATATGCTGAGATGAGTCATTATCTGTAACTTACTTTCTGCAGAAGTACTCTTTGACTATGTTTTTCTTGAGTCACTATGTCTCTCCTCTCTAAAGCAAGACATGACTGCTTATATCTTAAAAAGGAGTTAGCTAATGGAAGCATAGAAGTGTTTTTCTTGTTCCAAGGAGTCCTGAATCCTTGAAAACACCCTTCAACCTCCCCGTGAGCTGGAGGCTGGCTAACTGGGAGCCTGTGGGCTCGATCTGTGTCTGGAGATAGGGGAGGCTTGCTGATGTGCCATCAGCAGTGTAATTACTGAGTTTCTAGGGTAGTCAGAGACGCCTGTAAGACTCTTTCTTACCATTTAGATACACTTCTAAATTGGGTACATTTCTAAATCCTGTTGCAGAGCTGGGCTTAGTCTGCTATTTCAACACACCAAGTGCTCAGAAACTCATATACATACATGTCAGCTGTTTCACAGTGGAGGATACCAGTCTGAAGTAGAAGAATGTTTACAGAAGAAGCAGGTTAAAATGTTCATCACCTCAATGTCAATTCAGCAAGCAGCTGCTATGTGTATCACCTCCTCCGCGTTTGCAATCAGTGTTGGGATATATGCATGCCTTAATCTGAAAATTAAATTTGTTTCCTGGTCCAGTAAAAGCTCAGGCACTTTTGACCTACAAAGTGCAAGTGTTGGCACAAGTAAGTTTTTGTCCCGGAAATGCCACTCACATTAGAGCATCGTGGCAGTTGTAAATCTGTCATCCCGCAGCGCCCATACTAAGAGCAGCAGAACTTCTGAGGCTAGATAATTAAACACAGTAATATAGAGATAACACTAAATTGGGATATTCATAGCATTTAGGAAAATATGATGACAGTTTACTTTTTGGCATTTTGGTGCTTTATGATGATTCTTTTAAAAAATAAAGCACATAGTCAAAATTGATTATGTTTTCTATAGGGAATTAAAATTGTTCTGAAAAGTTTTTAGCACTTGGGGACTTGCTAGACTATTGTACTATGCATTACAAGTAATTATGCTATACATATGTAATCCTGAGAGTGAGATTAAAATAGATATTTTCACTCTAATGAGGCAATTTAACCTTAACATGCTATATAGTTACATGTAACCTCCAGGCTCTTGGTTAATATATTATTAGTGCCTCATAAGTCATTTAAGTTAGACTTTTTTCATGCCCTGGGGAATCCGGTAGAGTATGAGGTGTTAGGTTTATGGTCGGACTTGATGATCTTAAAGGTCTTTTCCAACCTGAACAATTCTATGATTTTAATATTCATTGCATGCTATTCTAAATTGCTGGCAGGGAAGATTTCTGATAAATAAGACCTCCAAATGGTTTTGATATATCTTTCTGTTCTTAGCCAGTTTTCATAGAATGATTTTTAGAAAATGTGTAGGGTCATTTTTATTGACCCTGCCTATAAATATCCATGGGAAATTTGTCTTCTGTTTCCAATTTCTCTAGTTGAGGAATTGACCTAACAAAAAAATAAGATATTTATGCTGGAAAGGAGATACTTTTCTTTCTGAATGCTAGAAGTGCTTACCTTATATTTAGATATAACGTAAATCTCCATTTGCTTTTAAAAGTTTTCTACTTACCTCTCAGATTTTTGTCAAATACTGCCACTTGCTGGTTTTATTCCATACCAGTAATTTAATTTTATAGCTTTTGCTTTGCTGAAGTACTAAAAAAAAACTTTCTAAAAGATCAAATAGTTAATACTTTTATCTGTTGGTTTGCTAAAAATTCAGATATAAGAAATATAAGCTCAAATCCTCTTCAGTTTAGTTCATATCTCCGTGTTAGCATTCTACCTCTGGATATAAAATGAGGCATTCAAGACATTTCAATATGTCTTCAGATACCTGACAATGGAAATGCTTTGCATTGACTTTGGCAGACACAGAATCATGACCTAGTTTATTATTTAGGACCATTTTGGTCAACAATAACAGTAACAGTTAAGAGGAACAGATTGTCAAAATAACTGATGAAAAAGCACCATAGAAACTTATATTTAAAGTGGGTTTATTATAATATAATAGCACAGGACTCTTAAGCTTAAACACATCTGATCTTTAATATTTTGAAGGCAGAAGCAAAACTCAGACTCGTTTTGAAAGCATATAATCCTGCCTTTTATTTCTATTATACATGCAAAGTGAATGTCATGGGGTAGCTGGATGGCACATGAGCAAGTGTGCTAAACTCAAAGTACCAGCTAAACAAATTATTTAAACTCCTAAATGCTTGTTCATAAGCTTTTCTCAACTATGCAGGAAATCTTATGCTATACTCAGATACATACTTCTTGAAATACCTCATGCTTCTTCATAGGCAGAGCAGTCAGAGGCAATATAACTTTTCCTCTGACCATGGGCATTCAAGACTTTATGATTTCTGCTAGCCCAGCAAAGAAGATTGAGGATGTTGTCTCCACAGAAGCCAGACTCACATATCCTTCTTCCTCTCAGTTGGGAAAGTGATGTTGCTGATATCTTTAAAAGCTGCCATTCTCCTTTCCTGAATATAATATGAATTTCTGAGGAAAATTACTCCTTCACTGGTTACATTATGAAAAAGATTCCTTCCAAGTTCAAACAAGAGTGTGCCTAGCACTGGAATGTACTAGGGTATCTTTATTTGCCTCGTGTCTTGCAGATCACCTGAACATGCATTGTTAGCTTCTTTATAACAAGAAATTCCTGGGACAGGTTGTGTATAAACTGGCAAAAAAAGAAAAGGTTGTCTTCTAAAATATCTTTGAAACTTCACTTCAACCAGGCTACCTGGTGCTATTGTATGTGTCCAAGGAAAGATGCTTACCATATCTTAAATCAACCAGTATAACTTAGATTTGCCAGATATTTCACACAATGTGTTTTAATGTGTCCTCCCTTTCAAAGAGAGAGTTTGTTAGGTGTAGCTATAGGAAATGGACCTTGCTAACCCATTATCTGATATTTAGGAAAATGCCCAAAAGCTTTATTATTTTTACTAACTGTGCAGTATGGATCTCTTAGATCTAATTCCTTTTTTTTTTTTTTTGATCCCACGCAACTATCACAGGTAACACGGTGGAGGTAAAACACTTATCAGCCTGCACTGTCTAGTGAAGTCAGGGTTGAAAAGTAGATATAGCAATAGGATAACCTGCTTTTTATCCTTCTGGCTTTTTAAATGATATACTAAGAAAAAATATTAAATAAAAATGAAAGATAATATTAAGACCCGCTTTGACAAGCTGCTTAAAATGTAGGAAAACATAGGCCCTGACTCAATAGCCAGCTGATGTACCTAGTGGAAGAGTTGGCCTGTAATGATAAAGGAAAACAGTCTCTGAAGAGACTTTCCCAAAGGAAAATGTACTTGAACCAATGAGCTCCCGCTTTCCCACAGAGTAATTTTCCTTAATATCAGCATAACGGGAAATTGGGTGTTATTAGTTTAATCTCTTGCCTACACTGAGGAAATACCTCACCCAGAAGAGATTCCAGGCTATTATTTGTACTACAGCTGTGCCTGGAGGCCTCAGCCAGTATCAGAGCCGTGCAGCCACATGTTTTACAGACATAAATAAAAACCAGTGCCTTCTCTGAAGACGGACAAATGCAGTAGGACTGTGCCCATTTCCCAGACGGGTACTGACGGGATCCTGGGTACCTTGAGCCCTGGGGCCTGGCCGCTGGGGTGCAGGGCCAGCCTGGGAAGAGCAGAGCTGGTCCCTGAGGAGAAGGAGCTGCTGTGGGGAAAGCTAGCCCCCCGCCGCGAGGGCAAGCAGCCCTACTTTTAGGCTAACTGCCATGCCCAGCCTGGCCTCAGCTCAGGCCCATCCCCATGGCCCTGCCCAGCCATCCCACGGCTGCGTCTGACCCCTGTTCCCCCAGTGGGCCTGATCCCAACCCCAACCCACGGCTCAAAATCCTGGCCCAGCCTTGGCTCATCCCAGTCTAACGCCCGGGGCTGGGGCAGCCCCGGTGCCCCCCGGCTGTCCTGCTCCTGGCTGGGGGGTGGGACAGGCCCTGGTGCCCTGGGGAGCCCCTGCCGCTCCTGGCCATGGGGATATCAAACCCTGGGAAGGGTCCTAGAGGCAGTGTTGAACAAACCCTGTTGAACTCTCCAGAGCAGTGTAAATGCTTTCTGTTCTTAATTTTAAAAGAACGAGCATCATCGGGAGAAACATAGTCAGCGGATCAAAGGAAGCTGCTTCCCTCCTCAGCTGGTGCATGTGAGGTCCTGCCTGGAAGGACACATCCCGCTCTGGGCTCTCCAGGTCAAAGAGGACGATGAGAAACTGGAAGGAGGATGACCAAGATGCCCAAGTGCCTTAAGTACATGAGCTATGAGCGTAGGCTGAGGGATCTGGGCTTGTTTCATCTGGTGAAGTGGGAGCAAGCTTGTGATCCAACAGCAACCTACAACACCTGGAAGAGAAACTGCAAAAACTGATAAAGTGAAACAATTCTTTGCAGTGGCAGAGGATATATATAACAAGGTGCAATGGTTGTAAATTGTGACTTGAAAAGTTTAGGTTGGATATCGCGTAAAAATATTTTGTACCGGGATGGTAGTGTGGCACTAGCACGGGTTACACAGAAATGCTGGAAATCCTCTTTCCAAGAGGTTCTCAAAATTCGATAAGACAAAGCCTTGGCTGATACGGGATAGTGCTGGCAATAGTCCTTGTCTGAGCAAGAGGCTGGCCAAGAAGCCTTCAGACGTCCCCTCCAGCGAACACCTCTGTGGCTTTGTTATCAGCTGACTTGCCCTTTGGAAATGCCTATCTCGCTGTTAACAGCAGTGTGAGCCTAGGTGACCAGTTTGAGCAAGATGCCCCACAAGCCTAAAAGGTGAGTCATTAGCAACTTTACCAGTATGACACAATCTGGGAGTCATCATGGCCTTAGCCTCCAGTGAAATGCAACAGTTCTTCTGGAGCAAAATCAACTTACCGTAGTTTGATTAGCGTAATAGTTAAACAAAGGTCTTTGAAAAACCAGAAGTAATGTGATGCTTTAACAGGACATTCGAAGAAAAATTATTTTTTTCTCCACATAGATTTTCCTTTTTTAAAAATAATGAACCAGAAAGATACAGTTCCTCAAACTTTCAGGTCAAATACCAAAGTACACTGAGAGGCAGGAGGGTGTGCTCAGCAAGGTTGTCTGGGATTTGGGCTATCAACAGACTTCCCTCAACTCATCCATGTTTTCCTGGCTGATCAAAGTCAATAGGACTGTTCAACTAGGGTGGGCTAGCTCAGTCCTGTTCTCTCCCTCAGGGTAGTTTTGATGTCCTCTAATTGCTCCCTGGATTGCCTAATTCCTGTTTGATCTTCCTTATTTAGTCACCTTTGATGTTCTGTTGTTGTTTGCTACAGGATCTCTGGTTAGGATTAAGTCATTTTAGACAGTAAGACATTCCTGTGAAGGGGAACACAGACAAGTAAGTACTAAAAAGAGAACAAACCAAAAATGTGTTCTTTGCTCCAGGTGGCCAACCCCGAGTTACAGTAGCAGTGAAATCAGGGGTCTTGATTTGTAACTCAGGTTATTGTATCATGACCAAAATTTCATGTCTGCCATCTATGCTCTCTTCCTATTGGCCCTTGAATTTTAGAATGACCTGTCAGAGAGCAAAACAGCCTTTCCAGATGCAAGGCTTAGATAAGAGTAAGCAAAACAGAGCCTGCTTAAGAAACAAATGGATTAAAAAAACCCACTACTAAAACCTGTAGCAATTACCGGTACCTTTTGCATGCAAATCAATGTAATGTACAATTCTCTTCAGTTGCACAGACAGTAGTTATATTCTCAACAATCCTTGCTGTACATCCTCCACTAATCATTCTGTCCTACATTCATCCACAAAATGGACATTTGGCTGGGTTGGTCTTCTTTGTTTCTTTTTGCATAACCTGTGGAAAGCAAAATGATTCCCATCCAGTTCTGACTATCTTTAAAATATGGCTGGGTTACATGAGTTAAGGTTCTATTATTTATCCTTATCATATAATTTGAAACTTTAGTTAGTTGGAAGAATTTTGGCAAATTAGCAAATTTTAGATTTTTTCTGTTGATTTTTCTGGCTTGCTTTGTTTTTCTTCCATTGTCAGGTCTCATTCTATTCTCCTTACTGTCTCTTTTTTCTAGCAGAACAACAGCAGCTAAGAAAAGCTGTCAGGAAGTAATGAGGGTGAGGGAGGAAGGTCTTTTTTTTAAACTTACTTTTTTGTTTTATCAAAAAAGCAAATATTTTAAAAAATCCAGTGCAATTAAAATGTTCCATTCGAAATGTTTTGTAGTAAAGATATATCATATTTCAATCTGAAACTTTAACTCATGTCTTCTCTCCCCACTGAAAAAACCTGAAGTATTTTTATTGTAAATATGCACCAAATGTCTGTTACCTGACAAATATATATTGAAACAGTAGCAAAATGGCATATTATGATTTGCACAGTATTTTTTCAATTATGTTGAAATATAATTGCATTGAAATTCAATTAGCTAAAGTCTAATCCAGAATTTTGTGGAGAAACAGACAAGAAAAGACCTTGACCTCTTTAACAGGAATCTGTTAGCAAACCGACAGTTGAGTGGCATTTTAGTACAAAATACAGGCCCTTAAAATTAAACAAATAAGTCTCAGTATCATTTGTAAGATCATCATGAACAACATACTTTTAGTATTTTAGTTTGTAACTTTTGCAGAGGCACCAGAATTAAAAGGACACAGTCATTAATTCTTCATTTCAGACTTTCTTTTTCATCCTTCTTCTTAATGTTTTCCTTGCCCTTTCTCTCAAAGGCACAAAGTTTTTTGGTCTTAGATTTAAAACCCAGAACATTAGAAGGTGCTTGAGTGATTCCTAATTCCATTTTCTGTTTTTGAGTCACGGTGTTCATTTTATTTGATTGTTATAAATTTGTGCTATTAAAAAAATACTGAGGAAGGTGAAACCCAGTGGCAGAGAAGCAGAAGGGTTGCTCCTTCATGTGAACACTGGGGCCTGGAGCAGTTAGTGGTTAAGAGAGTCGCAGCAGAGAACTGGGAGTCACATCTCCGAGAGGGTTCAACGAGCCTCCTGGGATCAAGGGGCTGAGTCAGTGATGCAGAAAGTCATTGCTTAGTTTGGAAGTAAGGACATGCTTGCAAGGAGCACATGGGCACATCTGTACAATCTGTTTTATTTCTCTTCTAGCTGCTCTGAGCCTTCCCTGTTTAAAAAAGAAAACTGCTACTTTTGTTCAAAACTTGTCTTTTTGTGGGTTTAAAATCTTTTTGGTCTTATTTGGGGAGCTTACTGTGAGGAGAACGCCTGGGTAGATCCTCTTCAAAGCCAGCTCTGGACCTTGTCACAGTCACATTTTTTTAAGTCCTGCTCATTAAAGTCATAGTGTCTCTTGACTTCAGTGAGATTTTGAGGGAGTGCACTTGGAACATTTAAAACAGATCATTTAATAGATGAGTATTAATAATAACAGGTAGCATATATATTTTATCTTTTATCTATGGGTATGTTTGTAATCAGCATTTAAGTATGCGTATCAGATTCCTTAGGAAATAGTGGGTGAATTCAAACTGCCGTTTAAAAAATCAAAGTTTCACCAGGATTTTTCAAACTGAAGCATGTAAGAACAATAATTTTCCAGGGTGCTGAGCACCTCTGTTCAGACAGCTTCTGATCATGTGTAGACAAAGATGCACCATGATGCATGATCCATATCTATAGATAAGATCACATCACATGCAAAGCTAGCAGCCTCACCTGAATTAGCATGTCCGATTAGAGGTGCAACCTTTGCCATGAATATTTCTATCACTTCTTGCTTATTTACCTACCTACCCTGAAAAAGATTCTCTTTTTATCCACAGTCAGTTCAATATGGCTTATAATCATACACAGTCATATAAGTTACGACTACAAAAACTTAGCAGTTTAGCTGATCCTGCAATATCTGTTTTTAGACATACCACAGTTTTTCTCTTGATTTTAAATATTTTGCATCAGCTGTCCTACAGTAAATGCAATTGCTTAAAAAGATCACTCCTTTCTTTCTCCTGGAATGAATTATTTTTCCAGACAGTGTATTCCAGACCTGCCTCCTGGGATGGAAATTCAGCTTAAGTTATTTTCAGAAATTGTCCTTACGTATTCTGATAACCATAGATGGTGCAAAAGAGAAAGAGTGGAATAACTGGAAGCAACCTTCAAAAAATTAAAAACGACTTCTTTTTTTTTTTGGTAAGAAAGTAGCATATAACTAAAGAGGTGAGAATAAAAATTGATACCCGACAGAAATAAGTTTTCCTGAACAGGCTTTCAGTTAGTTAAATTTGCTGCTATTACTGTTGACATGCTAGTTTCTTGGGTGGAGAAGCAAAACTAGATTTTACTGTGAACTTTTCTTTTTGCAGTTTACTGAAAGTGTTAGTGAAATGCGAGCTAAAAGATGAAGTTCTTTCTTGGTCCAAGGGGCATATCACAGAAAGGCTCTCCTGATCCATCTTTTCTTAAGAAACATGGGGTTTTGGGGTATCAGCATTTTTAATCAGAGGAGATTAACTCTAAAAATGTGTCTGGGTACAGAGAGGTGAATAGATATTGTGTCATGTGTAGTCAGAAGTGCTGAAATGTCTATTATAGCAATAAGGGTTAGATATTACTCATCAGAGTGGAGACCTTACTTCTACCTAGGCTTAAACATGTCTGTTTAAGGTGGTGGTGTTAACATTGATCTGATTAAATATGAATGTGGCTCACACATCTCGGGCATCCATCTGGGCAGAGCCTGAGGGCTCTCGGGCATGGCCAGGGATTTTGTGAGGCAGCACACTTCACAGTTTAAGATTATGTGCATGTATGCACATGCTGGTGTTTTGTGTTAATATTACAAGAAAAAATTAAATCTAAAGTTTCATGCATACAGAGAGTAAATCTCTTTAGGAATGATGGCTCAGGCAAGAACAACATAATCCATACAGAGAAAGATTTAAATATGTAAAAAAATCTCAAAACCTGTTTTCATTTTGTTACATCTCCTTAATGTGTAAATCCAGTAATGACTTGCGCACTTCTGTTCTCTCTTTATAAAAGCCATGGTCAGCGAAGAATGGAGTAGAAGCAATTCCATATGTTAGGAGGGTCACTGAATAGCTCCTTCTTTATAAACCGTATTATTTACTAACAGCACACTGCACAGATCCTCTTGAATATAACACATTTACTTGTATTAATTCAAGTAACAAGACCATTTAAAAACAACCGTGGCCAGCTCACAAGCACCACAAAAATGGAAAAAAACATGCAGCTACTTGTACTGTTCTCGTCATAAGTAATCACTGTGCATAAATTGGTGCCACATTTTCATGACAAATAACCACAGAAAGGACCTAAACTAAGAGTGTTCTCTAAAGCGCAATTTGAAGCGGTTAGTGCTGCGGTCACCCCAGTGACCTCTCTGCCGCAGCTGCTGGTGTCCCTGAAGCTGCTGCAGACCCCTGGGACCCCTCAGTGCCTACAGCCCCAGAGCTCCTGGTGAGGCCCAGCAGGACAAGCATCACCAGAGGAGTCAGAAGCAAGGGACATCCTCACGTGAGACTACAAGATCTGACAAAGAAGATAACCTGGCCTGAGGCTCTGTTCTTCAGGGGGGATACTCACTCCTTCTTTAAGTGTCAAATGAAAATTGGGGACTTGAGCAAAATTACGGGTGCCCATAAATGCAGGTCATGCAATACACACAGTGTTTCAGGGCTGCAGAAAGAAACTTGATCAGTAATCCCAACAGTACCATTGGTTGCTCCTCAGACATGTGCTCAATGGAAGCGTGTGCGGCCCTAATGTTTGGTGTGCAGTAGGAGGCAGAATTTTGTTTTTTTCAGTGAAGCATTGCTTGACTTTTCAGTGTGAAGAATTTCTTATTTTCAGATCATAAAAGCAGGACACATCTGAAGCTAATTCAAGATTAAAGCTTCTCTCACTGACAGCCTAAAACATGTAGCAAAAGGAACAAAACTGAATTTCAGGCAGGGCAGAGCCCAGAGCATAATGCAAAAACAAGGAATAAGTGCAAGTGCTAATACGTGAATCTCAGAAAAACAGAATAGTTTCTGAGCAACTTCCACTGGGCGTGCCGGTATCCTCCAGCTCCACCCTATTGTGCATCCTTTTTCTTCTTGGAATAGTTGTGATATCACAGCACAAGTGTTCCTATCTTTTTTGTTACTTTCTCCATTTTATATGCCTGCATTTTTGATGGCCTGACTCTGTCCTGTTTCTTCTGCTTTTTACTGACCCTGTGTACTTGTTCTGCAGCTTTTTAGTCTTCTGTTTTGATCCTTTCCACAGACAGTTTGGCTGATTGTACTCTTTGGAAGCATTTGCGAGAGGAGTGATTTTCAATGTAGAGTCAGTGAACCCCAGAGAATCCACAAAGTATTCCTAACAGTCCATGAGAGATAGTTAAGAAAATCAAGTCTACTGTCGGCAAGGTTAAATGTTCTGCTTAGAGATCAATGCCTCCATTGAAAAAAGTGTCTGCAATGAAAACTCTTGCTCTAGACTTAGATCTGGTTTTCTCCACAAAAAGTGTTAAATGAAATTTCACATGCCCCATTCTACATCATTCCTCCCTTTACGGTGGAAGTAAAACTTCTCTATATATAGCAGTGACAAGACAGAGCTCAAAGTTATTTGTGAATACAGTTTCTGCCATCATTTTTCTCTTTTTGGTACTACTGATTCAAATAATCCCGTTACTGATCTTAAAAACCCAGAAATTACCAAAGATGGGAAGACTGATCAGCACAGAACTGATATAGTGTACATAAAGAACTTGATGACATGATGGACTAAATAGAAAGGCAAGGTTGAAGATTAGAGACAATAGAAATTGTTTTTGCTATATTCCAAAACTTGATCAAAATATAACAGCTGATCACAGATCTAAGAGCCATCAGGGAACTGGCAAGAAAAAGGAAAATGTAATATGAGGACGTTAACAACATGTGAAGTATTTAGGGGCAATAGCAACAGAGAGATCTAGTGTTATTTATGAAATCATTGCTTGGGATGCTGGGCACAGTAGGCTCAAGAAGGATTATGTCAAAGAAAATTCAAGAAGGATTAAGTCCACAGGCACAGAGAAAGGCCTGTTGATCACAACGATGGAAAAATCGTCTTATGAGACCAGAGGAGTTGGCTCATATCCTTTGGCAAAAGGATTTCTTAGAAGAAATACTAATGTTGGCAGGAAACAGAAGCAGGGAGTGGGCATTAACTACTTCAGCTACCACTGATCAGCTGCCTACTAACATAGAGAACATGATGCTTTTCCATGATGCATCATACTGTCCCACTGGCGTATTGAATCCGGTCTAGTTGGATGTACCTGTTTTCTGGTCACAGTAATCCATTTTGCTGGAGATGAGGTGACAAAATTATAGGCTTATATTTACAGCTAAATATATTCTTTATATTTGATGTACAGTGATTTGCCTGCTTATCAGGATTGAACACTGCCATATTTAATCCTTTTGTCCTGTAGCTCTGGACTGCATACAAATATATTTTCATATTATAAGAACATTAAGACATGCATTAACAGTAAAAGTTCTGGCACTCACAACTAATAGAAATAATTTTATCAATTATATACGTGTATGTGGCGCAAAAATGTATTGTTGACTTTCTCAGGAGAGCTACTAAAGGACACTATGAGTGAAAACATCTGGGCAAGAAAAATCCAGAATTTTACTAATAAATAGGTAAAATAAAAGAAAATAAAAGCCCGGCTTAAGAAGAGATCTGTAGTATTTATGATTCCCAGCCAGCACTATCTGTTGAGATTCAGAGGGAAACTTCTCTTTAGGAAGGTTATCTCTCAACTGCTTTGTAAGCAGTTCAGGGCTTTTTCTGCAAAGAGACTTATCCTGGCCATTGTCCCAGGCAGGTTACTGTACCATGGGGATCACCATCTTGATCCAGTACAGCAATTTCTAGTTAACAAGTGCTTTTTAGAGAGGGGGCAGGTGGGATGACAAATCAGACAAGCTGCCATGACTGAAAATCTCAAATTACTTTTCTGTTATCACTCTCCATTTGAGTAGGTTCTTCCTATTTATTGGTTCCAAAAGGGAGGATGCAAACATATTTGACCTCTTGCCCATCTGCCACAAAAAGCTGAATTCTGACTATCCCAGATCTCAAAAAAAATTGAGAATTGTTTGCCAATTCTCTTCCATATGATATTATTTCACTTGGTATTAATGTCACCAGACTGCTGTAGGTTCCTTCCTCTGGTGATAAGAAGTTTGCAATGTCTCTGAATGGTTGTAAAAGTTCTTTTGTGTGTCTGGAATTTCTTTCATCTTCCCCTCATATCATGGCCTTGAGATTCTCTTGTTCTCCTAATTTTCTTTAACGTAACTCTGATACCAATAAAATAACCCATGTTGTGGATACATGAAGCAGAACAGTCTCCTACATAGATGTTTAGGCCTCGATGTTTTGGATTACTGTTTGCTAGAGATTAGAAAAAAAATACAGCTATCCTCCAAAATATGTCCACTTTTGTCATCTATTCACCTCTTGCAGTTTCTCATTCTTTTTTTTTAAACTTTGCCACTTTGTTGTATTTCTTTCAGGAAAAGTCCCACAGTATGAAGAATCAAGTTCTAATACGAAGACATGACCATAATGCCATAAGCCTAACA